TCAGTTCAGTCCGTCTCCCCCGCGCGTCCGGCCAGCAGCAACGCCGGAGCAGCAGTGGTTCCGCTTCCAGGGAAGGAGGCCCTGGAGCAGCTTGGGGGGCGGGGGGCTGCCTGGTTCCCCGGTGGGGCACAGGCGAGCTGTTCGTCCTTTCTGACCCCAAACCGGCGGCTCAAGGGGCCGGTCAGGGAACCAAATGTGGAAAGTGTTACCTGACAGGAAACCCAGGCGGCCGTCAGGGAAACGGAGGCGCACTCTTTACTACGCTCAGAATCTGGACGCGGCTAAGAACAGCCCACGGTTTTCACAGGTGAAGGGGTCCGGGAGTAACTCAGAGCTTCAGACAGTGCAGCAGGTTTAGACGATGCGGCGGTTTTCCTGAAGGTTTTTAGCTGGTAAACAATAAGCTGAGGTACAGAAGCAGAAAGAGGCGGTTATTGTTAGAAAAACAGGGGCAGTTTTAAAACAGGGAAGTTGCTGACTATGTGCTAACAAAATCCTGGGCGAAACTTCCACTTCAGTAGAAGTCTCATCCTAGACATGAAGGGCAGCCTGTGAGGACCAGTGACTCCCATTGCTCCTGTGAGCCCCACTCCTACTCCCTGGCAAGGCAGTTCCACTCCAAGACTGGGCCATGGGGACGGGAAGGACTGGTGGCTCCTATTCCCACTTCCCTGAAGCTCCAACTCTGTCCTAAAGAGATTCTGTCCTCGCAGGCCCGGCAAACCTTGATGACTGGCTGTTCAGGGCCCCTGCCTGAAGGGGTTGACTTTATTTGGAGTAGGACAAGGAAAAATCCAGCCCAAGGGCAATATTGAAAACAATAGAGGTCACAGTGAAGAATAATCAGGGAAGGCTGACATTTCAAGGATACTAACAGAAGCATACAAATTAATATATTTAATTTAGAAATCTACCAGAAATTTCATCTTGGCTAACACGGTGAAACACTGTCTCTACTAAAAATACAAAAATTAGCCACGTGTGGTGGTACACACCTGTAGTCTCAGCTACTCAGGAGGCTGAGGGAGGAGACTCACTTGAACCAGGAGGCAGAGGTTGCAGTGAGCTAAGATTACTCCATTGCACTCCAACCTGGGTGACAGAGTGAGCCTCCATATTAAAAAAAAAAAAAAAAAAAAAAAAAAAGGTGTGCTCGTTTGCTGCGGACCTGGTACCTCTTTTGTGAAGCGGCAGCTGAGGAGACTCCGGCGCTCGCCATGGCCGACGAAAAGCCCAAGGAAGGAGTCAAGACTGAGAACAACGATCATATTAATTTGAAAGTGGCGGGGCAGGATGGTTCTGTGGTGCAGTTTAAGATTAAGAGGCATACACCACTTAGTAAACTAATGAAAGCCTATTGTGAACGACAGGGATTGTCAATGAGGCAGATCAGATTCCGATTTGACGGGCAACCAATCAATGAAACAGACACACCTGCACAGTTGGAAATGGAGGATGAAGATACAATTGATGTGTTCCAACAGCAGACGGGAGGTGTCTACTGAAAAGGGAACCCTGCTTCTTTACTTCAGAACTCTGTTCTTTAAAGACCAAGATTACATTCTCAATTAGAAAACTGCAATTTGGTTCCACCACATCCTGACTACTACAGTATAGTTTTCTCTATTCTTTCATTTTCCCCTTCCCCATTCCTTTATTGTACATAAAGTAACTGGTATATGTGCACAAGCATATTGCTTTTTTTTTTTTTTTTAACAGCCAATGATATGTTTTGATTGACATCAAGTGGAGACGGGATGGGGAAAAATACTGATTCTGTGAAAATACCCCCTTTCTCCATTAGTGGCATGCTCATTCAGCTCTTCTCTTTATATTCCAGTAAGTTATTTTGCTCTCACTGTTTTAACAAAAAAACAACATAAAAATCCTTGCATACAAAAAAAAAAAAATCTATCAGAAATTTTAAAAGGACATCTAGGGACAGCCAAAGAGCACCCTACCCTTGTGCTGTGCACAGCCTTCCAGACCACCCACTCATCTCTGGAGGTCTGGAAGACTGCACATGCACAAATACCCAGGATCCAGAAGTTGGCTCAGTAAAGCCCAGAAAGGGTACTGTCTCTGGCTGAATGCAGAGTAGACTTGTAAACTCCCTGGACTTAGCAATCTCCAGCCACATTAGATCCAAGAGATTGAAGATACAAATGGATAATGACCAAACTAAAAGTAGAAATAGACCTCTGACCTAAAACCTGAAGTAACCAGCCCAGAAAGCCAGTCTACTATTTACAGTAACCATTCCAGGAAGTCAAGTTAGTGTCTGTGGCAAACAGTAGGGGAAGACAAATAATAATACCCCTAGATATTGATTGGCTCCAAATGGCCAGGACTTACTAACTGCAATAACTCAGAATTCCCTGATTTTTGCCCTTGCTTTCAACTTAGGACCAATGAGGAAAAGCCACACATACACTCCCAACCAATCACATCTGATGCCTCTCATCTAGTTAGCCTGCGCACAGCTTCCCCAGGCCACAGCCTCCAGTTAAGCCATACCTAGAACTATCCCACTTTCCCACTCCTCTGCCTGCTGTCAGTCGCTGCCAAACACAAGTGATGATGGTGGACTCTCCTGGTACGACAAGTTCTGAATAAACGGCCTTCATTTGTTATCATTTGGGGGTGTTATGGATTCAACTGTGTCCCATCTTCTCCCGAAAAAAGATATGTTGAACTCCTCACCCCCAGTTCCTCAACCTGTGACCATATTTGGAAATAGGGTGTTCACAGAGGAAACCAAATTAAAATGAGGCCAATAGGCTGGGCTGTAGCCCAAGATAGCTGGTACCTTTATAAAAGGGGAAATTTGCACACAAGGACAGGCAGGTGCAGAAGGAAGGTGACGTGAAGGCACACAGGGAGCACAGCCATGTGACTGGAGTGACACATCCGCAGGCCAAGGGACAAACCCCAGATGCTGGAAGAGGCAGGGAAGGATTCTCTCCTAGAGCTGTGAGAAAGAGAATGTCTCTGCTGACACCTTGATTTCAAACTTCCAGACACAAAGTATGTACTGTATGTTTCCATTTATATAAAGATCAAGGGCAGGCAGAACTATAGTGGAGATTCACTCTGGTATGATAGCATGAGAAGGTTGCCTCTTACCAAGAAGGATCTATGAAACTGAATAAAACTCTACTACTACCATCTCTGTGCATACGAAGATGTACAAAATGCTGAGACATATTTATTGCTGAAAACCATTGAGTGTTAGGAAAGAATGGTGCAAATCTATGGCAGTTTCTTGTCACGGCTAACACAGCCTAAGCAGGCACCCTTGAAATTAGCTCTGTCCTCCCTGGTCCTGAAAGGAGTCTCCACCAGAACCATAAACTCCTAGGGTTGGAAGCTGGAAGTACTAGGGAGTGATTTTTGATTGTGGGAAGAGATAGTGAGTGAAGGGTGTGGAAGGAAGGTGTGGAGATAGAGGACAAAGATTAAGTGACAGGAAGAGAGAGAAGAGCGTCAAAGAAACAGAGGCTCAGGGAGACAGATTGAGGAGACAGCAGAGGAGACAGGAAAATAGAGACACAGAAAGAGAAAGTGACTAGGAGAAACACAGAGACCACAAGTGAGTCAGAAATAGAGCAGTGGAAACAGCCCGGCAGAGCAAGAGAGAGGAGAGACAAAGGCACTGCCGGAGAGCCAGAGAACAAACACAGATCGAAGGACAAACGATAAACAGAGAAACAGACTAAAACACAGAGATAGAAATGAAGATGTTTGGAGAAACAAGATTAGAAAGACAGATGGCGACAGGGAAAGAGAGAGGAAGAAACGGACAGAGGTAAAGGGGTACAGTGAGAGAAACTGAGAAGCAGGGACAAGACCAGGGTCTGAAGTCCAGAAACAGAAACTTACAGCATAGCCCCTAACCCAGGAGGAGGGGTGGCAGAATTTGAACAAGAATCTGATCAGCGGGGGGAGGGCATCAAAGAAATATAACAGGAGGGAGGGCATCCTGTCACATTTCTTTGATATTTAACATTCAAAACACCAATATTTATTTACAATGAGAATAATCATCCACCTATAATTCTGTTGGGAACCAGCCCAAAGCTGTGTGTGGGTGCACTCTGTCCCGGCAGTGACGAGGGATGAGAAAAGAAATAAAGACAAAGACACAAGACTAGAATTTCAAAGCATGGGTCCAGGGGTGCAATGCACTCTCACAGGGTGATCTGCACCTGTTCCAAGTTCTAGGCTCCAAGCGCTTTTATTATGGTAAATTATCTTGTTAATCTTGCAGGCTGTGGGGAGGAGGGTTGAGGAGGGAGATAGCCAGACGAAGAGCATGTGTCTGCAGCATTCAATTCAAAGTGGTTCTCCTAAGAAATGCTAAGGATACTGAGGTTTTACCATCATTGTCTATCCAGGTGTTTTGTGGCAAGAGAGGTGCAGTGGACAAGGTGCCATGAGGTCTGACCACACACAATGCATCAAGCGGCTTTTATCTCCCAAGCATTGTGCACCTAGAGCAAGTGAAACTGCTCCACATTCTGAGAACACAGGCAGAGCCTGTGGCATTCCAGTGTCTCTGCCCTGCAAGGCTTTCCACCCTTACTAGCGCCCATCTAAGAAGACCCTCCCGAGTCTTAAGAGCAGATGTTGCATTTCCTTCCCAGAGTCTTTTGCATAAGCTCCCTTTACAAGATCCTTATGAGAACACTATTGAGAAGAAGCAGTTTTTCTTTTCTGCTCTGCAGCCACACCGAGTGTTCGGCAGTTGTAGGACGCTCTCAGATGGTCTTCACCAGAGGCCTCCCGTTACTGCTTGATCTCTGCTTTTGTTTTACTGCACCATAGTTTGGATATGATCCATGGCACAAATCTCAGTGTATAAAAGGCAATGCAAGCTCGTAATCATTTAAGTGTAAGTAACACAGGTCTGCCCCTGGCCATCTCTTCCCACATAATTCCATAAGTTTCCGCAACAAAGCACTTTAAGTTGGGAATAAAGATGTTTGCTGACACATGCCAGTTACACGCAGAACATGTGCTGAATTCCAGTTCCTGGGAGTTTCTTCTTTCAAAACAAGCTGTTCTCTTTTGTTCATTGAATGAGTATGTCCAGGACTGAGATGGCCATGCAGGGAGTGGAAAGGGTATGAGATTCAGTCCTCACCCTTAACCTGGCTCTCCTTTGCCAGCTTCAGCCAGGTCTGTATCTGCTGGAAGATATTCTGTGGGGAGGTGGGAAGAGTTTGGAAAGTCAGATCTCAGCACCAGTAGGAAAAAAGGAACATGCAAATGCTTATTCAAATAAGAATGCAAATTATTCAGAGCCTTTTCCCTCTTACCTGGCGCCCTAGGCGGAGGCTGGGGGAGTCTGAGGGCCTCTCAGGTGCCATGTCCAAGCAGTGGGAGCCAGAAGGGATGAGAAGAGCTGATTCTGAGGATCCTAAAGCCTGTGTTACACTTAGCACATGCCAAGGGTCTGTGTCACCTGGAAAGAAAGGAAAGGGTGGGGCTAGGTAGATGGGGGCTGGGAGAGGATAGGGCTATGCTGAGCTGGGGCTACATACATAGGTTTTGACAGCATGCTCACCGTTAACAAACAGCACTTGGTTAGCCCCAGGAGTCTGGCCACCATAGTAGGTGTTCGTCTGAGCCACAGCCTGGGCTACTGACAAGGGTGAGAGCCCGAACACCTGCTCACATAGGTCTAGCTGGGAGGGCAGTGCTGGGAGCTGGGAGAAAGGACATCTGGGATTCTCACAGGTGACATCTGTGTAGGGAGATACCTGTAAGTGTGGGTATACAGCCAGCCCACCACTCTCCTTTAATAATCATTTTCAGAGCTTTCCTTAGTGATGACCAAAATATTTCCAGTACTCCCTTCTAGGAGCTCATGATCCTAGCATAGAGACTCTCACAGATCCCCCAACAGTGACAAGCCAGAGTGATCAGGGCTGTGAAGGAAAAAGGCCAGAAAGCAGGGAGCCCAGAGGAAACATGATGGGCTCAGGGAGAGCGTCCTGCAAAGGATAAGACCTTGAGAAGTTAGTAGGACTGAGCCAAACAAAGACAGAGAAGAGGAGGCATAGTAAAGAGAGGAAGTAGCATGTGCAAAGGTCTGGAGTGCTCGAAGCTCAAGCTGTGTCACGTCTTCCCTGCTTAAAACCCACAGCTCACTGTGTTTTCAGGGTAAATCTAACTTCCATAACATCAGATTAATTCATTCCTTCCCTCCCTATTTGCTGACCACCTACCATGTGCTCAGATAAATGCTGTACAATATTGGGCACACCAAGACAGCTCCAGGCTCTGCTGTCACAGGATCAGTCCAGAGGGGAAGAAAGGCAATAAAAAATGTATGATGACAGATTGCGTAAAATGCTAAAGAGCACAGATCTATTGAAGTGGGAGGCTGGACAGCTGCTTATCTTGAGGGACCATGGCTTCCTGAGGGAGGGCATCCTGTTTATTGAGAGAGGAGCTGATCCATGACCTGCTCATCTGGCACAAGATGGGAGTTAGTGGAAGACCATGCTCTGTGCTCAAAGCAAGGAAGACCTCTTTATAGCGACAAAATGTGGCCAGACTTGCTTACTCTAGCAACAGCTTTTTCCTCTGTTTCCTCGGTGTACGTAAAGTAGAGCATGCTCTATGCCTCCCAAGGAGATGCCAAATCATCACAGCTATAGATCATTTGCTTGATGCTTTGCTTCCTTTTCACACCCCCCATCCCTGAGCACAGGCTTCTTGGTTTACACACTCATTCAAGTGTGGGCCTCCAGTGCTCAGGGCCTTTGTATCCTCCTACTCACATGGGCCTCCTGGGAGCCCACCTTTATGCATTCTTACTTTTGTCTCTAAATTTCTTTGTCTCCACCAACCCCAGTTGCTCCCTA